GGGGTCGTCATGTTTTGACCAACTTTTCCTATGATTTGGACCAAGTCGTAAAAATTTTTCCCGGAAATGTTGTTTAAGCAAATATCAGTTCCATTTTGACCAACTTTGGGCAAATATCAGTTCCATGTTGACCAACTTTGACCAACGTTTGAATTATTGGGGGGGGGGGGTGTTACACCCCCCACACACCCCTTATAGCGACGTCCCTGGCTACATTCAGAAGCTACATAGAGTCAGACTAGTCAGATAGAGGGCTAATCCCAACCCACCCTGTCAATATTCCTTGTGGGACGGAACTGGAGTTCCCCGGAGAAAATCCACGACTTTCAGTAGAACGTTGACTGGCTCTTTTCACAGTGTCATAAGCCCGCAGCAAGAATCGAACCCAGAGGTGCTAGGTCGCAGAAGTGGAGTTTTTATCGCACGTTTCTTCATTCTGTAGATCTATTCAATGTTAGTGTTGTTATCATACAATCAACAAGTCACCCTGACGTCGTTTGGGTATTACCAACGTTACCGTTATCCAACGAGAAGGGTGAGTGCAACTTTCTACTTCTGCAAGCATGTTGCACTCTTTTAGCATCACTTCAATTTTTCTTGCACACAATTCATTAAAATCTTTCCTGCTGGTACACGCGTAAAAATCTTACAGATTATCAACAGGATATGTGTTCGCGCTGCTTGTTTTCCAGTTGTTGACAAGTCTGGAACAAGCTGTTATCATCTTGTAAAAAGGTTGGTGAGGCCAACAGACTCCAACAATTAGTCTGATATCGTCTGCATGTAACAAGTTGTTAACAAGTTGATGACAACAATCTCGTAGCAACTTGTTACGAACAATCTGAGTAACTCGTGGCAAGTCTGTTACCATCATCAACTTTGTGACGAGGTGATAACAACTTGTTCCAGACTTGTCACCACAACTGGGAACAAGCAATGCGAACACATCCTGATATCGATTTGACAACAATCTTGTTACAACTCGTTTGCAGACCTGTAACAACTTGTGCGTTTTTCGTGTGTACTTTTAAATATGATTTTGTAATTGTTTGGGTTTTTTCCCATAGTTTCCATTGAAGATAAAACGCGAAGATTATTCGGAAGTGGAAAACGAAGAGGAACAAAGGTTCATCGAAGAAGAATTTGTTTAGAAAAAAATAACTCTCCTTTTAAAAAATAGTGTATCTCAGTTGTATATATTGTGTTCCCGAGTCACAGATTCAGGTCGAAATTGACATTGACAAACTACCAATACTGAGTACATTTTGTTGTAAATATTGTAAGAATCTAGTATCTCTCAATTTATCTATAAAGAAAATGGCCTATGACGCAAACTAACTTTATTTATACCTGATAGCTCAGGCTGCTCAGCTCTATCTGCCAGTAAATGTGCAGAATTATGCATAAATATTGGAAAGATGACGAGGGAAGGGTAAAATAAATAACACCTCCCCCCTCCCCCACCCCAATTCTCATTAATTTTCAGAAACAAATCCGCAGTCTCAAGTGGATATTGCTCCAAAATAATTTGGACCAATGACAACTTTCATGGCTGTTATTTAGCGGCATTTTTAGTGTCTTGGAATCAAACACAAACTTGATATTTTAAGAGACAAGAGTATTTTGAAATAGATAATTGTTTAAACTTGTTTTAAACAGAGAGGAAAACAGGAAAATCAGAATCGCTTACTTTGAATGGGCTAAGGAATGTGAGTTATGCAGACAAGTGGGTAATCTGATACGATCACTGAGCATCGATCTATCAACGCGTCAAGCTTTGTCAATAATATACCGATTGTTTCCTCAAATCAACATAATAAGCTTAATTACCGAAATGACAACTTAGATGAATGTGATTGGCCGATGCGTTCTATTCTTCCCAAGGGACGGACGGACGTCCCAGAATGCAACACGTGGTTGGTTCATCGTCGAACCGCCTTGGACGCAAGTTGAAACCCAGCATAAACGAAGTCAAGGTTTCCTATTACAACCGTATTTCTTTCCTGTTTAACGGACGAAATATAAGCTGGGTAAGTAAACAAGTTGACTTTTTCAATTGTATTTAATCCGTTGTGCTTACTCGCTGCAAAATTCAGGCATGTTTCAGCCAGTGCAACGCTGTGAGGTCGCTAAATTTTGTGCAACTTTGTGTCCGCAGGAAAGCTGAGACGATGCGTTTGGCGCTTCCCGTACAGATGTAAACTGATTCTTTTGAACGAAAGGCGAGGTTTTGTTACAACTGTATCTACGACAAATTATTAATGTAAGTTGAGTCGCATATTTATTGTATCTTCATAGCGACACACAAACCCTCTTGCGGTCCGCTTGTGTTTCGACGCACAGAAATGTACATTTTTGCCCCCTTCTCAAACGCTAACAGCCTTTGCATTTTTGAGTCTGGAATGCGGATTACATCCTGAACAAATTTCCCCAAATTTCTACCCGTAGTTCAAAATGAAAATCGCAGTAAATATGAGATGTTTCCCGTGTACATGCGACACCAAATTATCATAATAGCCAGTCTGAATAGTTGCATTTTATGTTTATATCATTTCCCTTCGGATTTGATCGCATTTCAGTTCGCATTTTGACCTCTGTCGGGCAAACTCGCTGCTGGAGTTGCTTTTTATAAATATAAAAGCAATCCGTTTCGTTCTGGTTTAGTTATAATCCTAAATTCACACGGTTTATTTTGGTTGTTTGTTTATGATTACTTCTAATTTGGTCAAATTATTTAATTTTAAATCGTTGTATTGTAATATTAAAACTGATGAAGCAAGTAATTTAATTTGTTACTTTTGTGATGTGGTTGATCGTAGACAATGCGAAGACGTGACAGTGTTTTCTGGATTGTCTATGGGTTGATTTAGTTTGTGTGTCTGCTCAAGTTAAAATTTTATTTTAGAAATCTATTATTTGTTTTCTAAAGTTTGTTTAGGTATATAAATCTTGGAGTGTGTGTGGGGGGGGGGGGTACTGGTATAGGATGGGGTTTGCCTTGAAATTATGCCTGAAAATAAGGCTGTGAGTCTTGGCCAAAATATTGATACTTACACATACACTGTACATTTGGCATTGCATTAATATTTATACATGAACTTGTGGTTATCTAGAGCTCGACAACTGTCTCTCTGTAGCTCAGTTGGTTAGAGCGCTGCACCAGAATCGCAGGGCCGAAGGTTTCGGTTCCTGCCAGAGCACCAATAGTCCCATTTTTTGCAACTGTTTCTGGTTAAGTCTATTAAATAAATGTATAAAAATTCTACTTCAATTCTATTTTCCTCATGGGAAAAATACTCTTATGAAACAAAAATATTTCGATGATTGTAGATGGATTACTGTGGATGACATTGTCTGTTTTTATATATTTTGTTTAAAAAATAAGGAGTCACTATGGCAAGTGAGGACGCTGAAACCCGAACTGAAGTTATGGATGAGAAACCACCGGTAAGTAGCGTCTGCAAGGGAAAGTGTCAGACCAACATCATTAAAACCCAGTACTCTGCCCTTGACAAGTAAAATGATCTGTTTTATGTTTTATTTTTTTGTTTTAATTAAAATACTTTATTGGATAGTGACGAAACGGTAGTCCTGAGTGCAAATGGGACTCTAGGTCCCATGCGAGGCACTCCTCCGATTAAAGATACAACAACAGACAATACATGTAGAATAAAATATACATATAAACTACAGTCATAAATAAACATATGCCACCAACTCGAAAATCAAGGCTAAGATTATCTGGTGTACGTTAGACAGAGTAATAGAATAGAATAGAATTTATATAACAAGATAAAAATATAACAAGATTATTAAAATAAAGTTTTACATGAAAGAGAACGGTGCTGGGGAATTGGAGTAACTAAAGTTTTAGAAATAATTAACTGGGAGGGAATTGGGATGCATTGCAACTTCATGGGTTAACTAGACACATTGGCAGATAGCCTGGTTAACCCAATGAGCGCCAGCACTCTCCCCTTGACAAGTAAAATTGTCTGGCATTAAACAGAATAAAATAATAAAGTAGAGTGCATCATGATGCAATGCGACTTAGTGGATTAATCTTTCCTTTAGCATTCCTTCTAAGGTATATTAGCTCGTGTGCATTAATGATGACCTAATAATACTTAAAATGACTCAATTCCAACATCTTGAGTTAAGCTCCACATAATTACATTTGGGATATATGCACAACATTACTGCAGTGTGCTCACATTTTCGTCCATTTTGTGGCAGGCAAAAAGACAAAAAACTGAAGAGACGAGTGGGTCTCAACCAGCAGGGAATGATGCTCCTGAAAAAGAAGTGTAAGTTGCCAGCCTAAGAAATTTTATTTCCAATATCTGGATACATGCAAAGCTATATTTTGTTCACTAATGATTTGACTTTTAGGGAAACCACAAAGATGGATGCTCCTGCAGAAATTACCCATGCAACCGATGTTGATAATGTACATAAAGAAGAACCACCCCAATCTGCTGAGGCAACTTCTACTGAATTTACACCCACTGTACCCACTGGCACACAACCACATCTTGCTGAGCCAGTTGGCACAGAAACACCACATACAGAACCGATACCAACCAGTGAAACATCTGCAAACCCCATAGAAACTCAAGCAACCATTGTGAAACCATCTGAAGAGACCAAGAGAGAGGTCTGGGGAGGTGTGGCGAGTGGCGAATGCCAACTACCTTCCGTCACCAATGTGACACTGACAAATCTGACTGAATTTGCCCCACAAGATCCCAATGTTACCTCAGTTAACCTTGAGAACTGTGTATATGGCCTCACACCGGCAGCCGTTATGACGAGCCTTGCCAATCAACAGCTTCGACCAATAGCAAATCAGTTTGGTGCAAATACAACAACGCTGTTTGCAGCAGGAAATTACCCGCATATTATTACGACTCCATCACAAGCTGGCCTGCAAGGCTTTGCTACTGCAGGTGTGTGATTAAGTGATTTAAAGTTCACTTCCACTGAAGTATTGCAAAATCTGGTCCATGATACTCTTGTTTTCTTATTGCTCAATAAAATTTTAACTGTTGTTATTCTATTTTTGTTTATTTTATTGTTGTTGTTATTGTTGTTGGTTTGTTGTCATTGTTGTTGTTGGTTGGTTGTTGTTGTTGGTTTGTTGTTAATTTGTTGTTGTTGTTGTTGTTGATTTGTTGTTGTTGTTGTTGTTGTTGTTGATTTGTTGTTGTTCTTGTTGTTGGTTTGTTGTTGATTTGTTATACTTGTTGTTGTTGTTGTTGTTGTTGTTGTTGTTGTTGTTGTTGTTGTTGTTGTTGTTGATTTGTTGTTGTTAATTTGTTGTTGTTGTTGGGTTGTTGTTGTTGTTGGGTTGTTGTTGTTGGTGTCATTGTTGTTCTTGTTTGTTGTTTTTGTCATTGTTTGTTGATGTTTTTGTTATCATTCATGTTATTGTTTACCACATTCTTGCTGTTTTTGTTGTTATTGTTGTTCACGTTGCTCTTGTTGTCGTATTACGCTTTTGTTGTTCTAACTGTAACTGTTCATGCTATCATTTTTTATGTTTTTATTGTTATATTTTTTGTTGCTGAGCTTGCTAGTTTTTTGTGTAGTTTGTTATTAGTTCTTGGACTCAGGTATCAGTGTATGCTCGTTTGTTTGCTAATTATCCTACTACTCTACCAATTTCTTCACAGGTGCTGCATTGTCAGCGGTGCCTGCCGGTGTGCTATACGCTCAGACGGGTCCCCAACCCTCTCCCATGGCGGGCTTCTCACTCGTAACTCAACCGATACATTATCAAACCGCCGCGTTGAATGCCGCTGTTAAGACCTCGTCAAGCGAACAGACCGCAACCACAGAACAAGTTACATCGGAGCAACAACAACAAACACAACAGCAACAACAACAGTCGCAGTCTCAAGCACAACAACAACAGCAACAGGCAACACAACAAGCAGATGGGACTGAAATCCAATCTGTACAAAACATTGCATTCGCCACTGGCAATACCTTCCCTGCTGGAAGTTACGCTGGAGTCATTCCCGCAGCCCAAGCATATGGAAATGCATATATGGCGCAACAGCAAGGCGTCGCAGGTGAGAATTGAGTTTGAGTTTATATATTGAGTTTTTCAGGAGGTACTTACGATTTTAACGTCCTTATCCGAGAAGACGCGAAAGACGTTTCAGATTATATAAATGTCTTTAATGATTTCGTAAATGTGTCACCAATGTCAGTGACCTCACACACAATCCAAACTTCGTGTTTCCCACGACCGTATTTTTAATATTCCTACGGCCGCTTTCCATTAGAATTACTCGACAACCTTCGCAGTTTTCCTGACTGTACTATAGGGAAGATTTACAAGCTGCGAAAAAGGTACCATCTGGTTTCGCAGTTGTAAGACCTGGTAAGGAATAACGAACGAACTTTTTGAACTGCTGTCGGCAGCTATAAAAGAACAGTTCTGCTGAGGAGAACTGGATTGACGTTGGCATTTTTTGCCCATCTGGGCCGTTGCCAAGGTCGGTATTGCCTAATGCCGACCTCGTTTTCGAGGGCTCGTAATCGAACCCTTAAATGGTTATCTTATCTGCAATCTATGCTGAAATTAAGAAAGCAGCAAACGAGAAGAGCCAACCTCTGTAAATCATGGGAGTTTTCATTGCTGCATACCTATACCCTCTTCGCAATGATGGGTGAACTCTTTGGTTATTTCATATTTGTTTTTCTTGCACTCTGCTGACATTAAAAGATATTAAATATTGATTTAAAAAAATAATTGCAGTTTATGCTTTTCCTGTTATTGATGCTTGAGGCTATAAATTGTTCTCGTGCCGGAAAAGAACCTAGACATTAAAATTATTTAAAAAAAGCATGCGCAAAGTTAAAATAATTTTTAGTTTTCATTTATTTGCAAAACGAACTTAATAAATATTGAACTGATAGAACGATAAACGAACAATTTCAGATTTATGCACCTAGATTATAAATTATATAAATTGAAAGCAAAACTGCATTTGCATAAAATGTCGGATAAAAGAACAACAAAGACTGCCAACAAGATCTCGTACATTTTCCTTACATTTCCCGCAAACTGTAAGCCAGTTGGCCGGTGATGCCCTCTATATTATCCCCGGGGCAATATATTTTATCTCAGGGAAGAATAATGTATTTATAATTGATTCATTTATTAGCATATAGCATGACCAGTTGCCATGGCTAAAGCCTCGCCACTGCACCTATAGGGTATCTGAAACTTTATTATTTTGTACATGTTATTGTTAGGGTCCGTTTATACATTTGGAATTTTCGCTGCGATTTCTAGCGCGATTCTCTGCTTCTGATGGATGAGAATGAGTTGATGAGTTATGAGCCTTCTGAGTACATGTTCCTTCATCAGAGCATTTGTAACTCATCCACTCGTTCACATCCATCAGGAGAAGAACATCGCAAACGAGCCTTGGCTTTAGGCTGGAATGTGCACGTTGGGAATGTTCTTGTAAGATTGATAATTTCCAAATTTCTGGTTTTCCTTTGAACGAAATGTCGGGCTGTGAGCAGGCTATAAGCCCTGAAGCGGTATAAGGTTCCCTTGAAATATATCAGGGTGTTCGCCCGAATGAAATATATCAGAGTGTTCGCCCGTTCGTCTCGTAATGACATTCTCGTGGCCTAGCGCAAAGCCACAGAATAAAGACACACGGAAGGTCGATTTGCCCCCCATTAGTTGCGTTCCCAATTTTTTAAATTCGATGCCTCCTCTAGTGTTATTTATAATCTCTATGCATTCACCCCCCTGGACGTTCGCCATTTTGAATAGGGGATGCCTCTCATAAGCGCACTGGCTAGGACTATGGCGTCAGCATTTTGATGACGAATTACGGTTACGCCAAAATCATAGGAAAAAACAAAAAATGCGTGGTGAAAATTTTTACCCTCGCGATGGCGCTCGCACGTGCATCGAGTCTATTTCGTTTAAAGTTATTATGACATAATAATAACCCTGATCTGGTTCCCAATTCAAAAGTTGAACAATCTTATATATATATATATATATATATATATATATATATATATATATATATATATATATATATATATATATATATATATATATATATATATATATTTGCTTAGCACGAGAAATAGCAAGTGATTCTAGGCTTTCATATACCAGAATCGTTCGCTGTCTCGAGGCTATACTACTAGTAAAAATTTCGGGTTATTATATCTTCCGCTGAAACAATGAACTTAAAACATAATGCCACCCATATGTTATCTCGCATGTTGACTTATGAAAAATTATTCTCCGCACCATGTAATCAATATAAATATTTGCGTTTTTAAGTGGTTTTATGTACTATTATATTTATCGCTTCCGTTCATGACGATCAGCAACCAAATCTTTAGCATTGATCTATGTTTTGATTAAATAACAACGCTTGTTGTTTTGGTTGAACTGTCTGTGCCAGTGTAGGTGGTGCCGATAATATGAACAAGCTTTCGTTGGCGGTAGGGATGTAGCCTGCGAACAGGCTCTCTTTGAACTCTCTTTGAAATTTGAGAAGAGCCTGTTCGCAGGCTAGTAGGCGAGATTTTTCCGTCGTCTACACTATAAGAAATGTTTGAGGAAACTGAGTCAGTGTTTAACATTGAGTAAGTTTTCTCAAACATTTCTTACAAATCCTTAAAAACTTAGAATTTACCGATGCAAAATTCCTACCTGTGATCACAGAAACTTTGATAATGTAACCCATACTTTGGTTATTTGTATACAAATGAGTCGATATACATACAGGCAATGTGGAAAAACCCCCCCCCTTTTACCCCTTATGCCCCACTCTCTCAACTCCCCAGTGTATAGCACAACAAACAACTTGTAAATAAAAACTTTTTTCAATAAAATATAGGACAAACTGCAACATACGTTACCTATCCTGTGACCAGTGGTGAAACCTTACCCACAACAAATGGTACCTTAAATACAGTCCAACCAAATGGCCAGGCACTATACCAATACAACCCTGCAGCATTTGGCCGTGGACAACCGCCGACATACCCTATAGTTTTATCAGCAATCCAGGAACATATGCCGCCCGAGCCTATGTGCCAGTCCCCGGGACCGCGTCTGCGATATTGGAAATCCAACGAGTTATCAGATGACGCAATTGGCTAATGTTATAACGCAAAATAACGCAGCTATTGGTCTTCCTGATGGACTAAATGGAGGTTAGTCGATTTGCTGTAATTGCGTAGCGGCGCTGGGGGGGGGCGACGGTGATGATGAGAGAAGCTAGCGGGGTGGAGGGAGGCGGGGGTGCTCACTTACATATAGTTAATCAACACAGTCTCCTGGATAACTAGATGAATAGAATCATTTGACAAAAGTGCACAAATAGATGATAATAAAAAAGGTCATCAGGTTTAGATTAGTGTCGGATTAAGATTAGATTAGGGTTAGATTAAGATTAGATTAGGGTTAGAGTTTGGGTTAGATTGGGGTTAGGTTTCCCCTATGGATAGATGAATAGAATCATTTGACAAAAGTGCACAAATAGATGATAATAAAAAAGGTCATCAAGTTTAGATTAGTGCCGGATTAAGATTAGATTAGGGTTAGATTAAGATTAGATTAGGGTTAGAGTTTGGGTTAGATTGGGGTTAGGTTTTAAGATTAGATTAGGGTTAGATTAAGATTAGATTAGGGTTAGAGTTTGGGTTAGATTGGGGTTAGGTTTCCCCTATGGATAGATGAATAGAATCATTTGACAAAAGTGCACAAATGGACGATCATAAAAAAAGGTCAACAAGTTTAGATTAGTGTCAGATTAAGATTAGATTAGGGTAAGATTAGATTAGAGTTGGGGTTAGATTAGGGTTAGGTTTCTCCTATGGATAGATGATTATCATCTATTTGTGCACTTTTGTCAAATGATTCTATTCATCTATTTATCTATTTATCCCGGAGACTGTGCTGAGTTAATAACACTATGTTCTGTTGCTAGGTAACATACAGTACGCAGGAATATATATATATATATATATATAT